AGGAGAGAGAGAGAGAGCCATAAAGATTGAGAAAACTGTCGTTATTATTATTATTATTATTATTATTATTATCGGTGCAGATTCTTCGATTCAAGAAGAAAACGATAGAAAGTGAGCACGATATAGAGATAAAAGGTCAGGCAAAAGAAGAAAGTGAAGGTCAAGCGTGCGTTATTATACCTAGTCGAATTAACCAACGCGACGTGAAGAACGCGTTGGTAATTGTCATGGCGGCATGCCGTACGAGCGAAGTGTGAATATCCTGTTAATATCCATAGTTAGTTACGGCTAGTAAAATGTAGCCTTTAATACAATAAAATGCGTGAAAAACATGCCTTCAGACAGTTTTCTTAAAATCGCAAAATACTTTTATCGATATACAACAATTTCGAATGGATTATATATATATATATATATTTATATATAACCTCTATCGAGTATTTATACTTTCTTGAAGCAAAGAAAAGAGACTGTCATCCGCCTATTTAATCCAATTTTTCTCGAGACAAATAATCGAGACGAGAAACGTGACGATCTCAAACTAGAATTATTTTTTAAATTATCGTAATCAGAGGGAAGCACCTGTCCGAGCCGTCGGCTTACAATCCCACGGTTTCACTACATTTCCGCCAGTTCTTACTTCCTTTTCTATTTTCGCAAGAAAATAATCCCCCTTCCTTTCTATTCCCTATACCAAAGTTACTATCCGAAAGTTCCTAGGCAATTCTCCGCTGAATTCGTGTTTCTCACACACATTTCTCGAGTTTTGAAGATTTCGAGATTTCCCCGTGTTAAAGGATCGAGATATAAATAAACGATCTCAAAATTGAATACAACCTTACGTTAATTCCCTCGAGATTAAAAAGAATGAAGGAAAATTGCAAAACGCGTCAAAGACGCGTGTAATAGGATAGGAAGAGTCGTTCGCTTTCCGCCGGATTTTGCACCGTCGGAAGCGACCGAAACGAGATAAGAGGCAGCGGTGTATACGCGCGCACCGCCACGAATTTTACGATACGCGTATTAATCATTTCGGTGGACGTAATGCACGAGCCGGTGAGTTTGGCTCGAAACGAGATTTACGGCGAGCAACATCGACAAATTTGCGTTCTAATAAACGCATCTACGAGGATTCCGTGGAGATTCGCGCCGATGGTAAAGAAGAAAGAGACTGCTGTGACACTGTCGATAGATTTTTGTCAAAATTTAGGTTAGGACATCGAGGAATGTACAGGTTCGTCGAATCATTCTTCGCGACGGATATTTCTTTCATTCTCGTTCGATCTATACGACGGAACAAATGATTCGTCATTTTTCTATTTTGTCGATCGGGAGTGGAACTAATATACAAGAAAAATTAATTGGATTGTTGTATAATTGGATAAACATCGATTTAACGAAAAAGTTTTTATATTTGAGATTTCTTATTTTTCTTCGATCTATACGACGAAACAAATGATTCGTCCCTTCATTTTGTCGATCGAGAATGAAACTAATACATGAGAAAAATTAATTGAATTATATGTAATCCAATAAATATTGATTTAGCAAAAAAGTTTTCATATTTGAGATTTCTTATTTTTCTTCGATCTATACGACGGAACAAATGATTCGTCCCTTCATTTTGTCGATCGAAAATGAAACTAATATACGAGAAAAATTAATTGAATTATATGTAATTGAATAAACATCGATTCATCGAAGAATTTTTCGTATAAAAGATTTCTTATTTTTTTTTCGATCTATACGACGGAACAAATAATTCGTCCCTTCATATTGTCGATCGAGAATGAAACTAATACACGAGAAAAATTAATTGGATTATACATAATCGAATAAACATCGATTCGTCGAAGAATTTTTCGTACAAGAGATTTCTTATTTTTCTTCGATTTATACGAAAGCGAGAGAAAGTTGCTTCAATTTTTGCAATTGGCGAATTTTCAGTTCGAGAAAGTGCAACACAATGTGAAAAAAATTAATTGGATTATGGATAATCGAACGAATGTTGATTCATTGAATATTCCCTTTTATAATTTATCCCCGTTCGATTTATACGGTAGGCGAACCAATTCGTTCAACTCTGTTTTACGATTAATAAATTTCAATGCGATTTTTCGATCGAGAGCCACGTAACCTGTTAAAAATTAATTGCATACGGATAATCGGGATAAATAGATCGAAACAACGAGATACGAGTTTTTACATTGTTACGGAACATGGGTTGAATACGTCACCAAGACGCGCGATTCGCATTTGGCTTTGTTTTGTTGCAATTAACCCTTCCCTACTTGTTTTCAAGCACCACCGGTTATAAATTATTCTTCATTGCACGTACTCACCTTTGATGGGCCGTGGGTGGGGCGGTGAACGAACAACGATAATTCTTCTTCGCCACATGGGGAAACCTGGACAGAGAACGAGCAACGTAACCGATTAGAAAACTCTTTGCAACTTTTCTCGATCTTCTTCTCATCATCTCCCTTATTCCCCCTTAAATTCCATTACTATTTTCTTTCACTACGAATTGCCACCGAATCGATCGAAAAATCGCATTGAAAAAAGTTTCCAAGATCCGAGATTGAAAAAATTGATCGATTAAATGTAATAATTTTTTACAAGAATTGCAAAAACCGGACGATTAATAACGGTTAAATCGAATTAAGATACAACGAGAAATATTGTTAATTGGAAAGTTAATAAATACGAAAATTTATTTGACGAAACCACGACCAATTTCCAATATATATATATACACATATATATACTCGAGTGGTCGAAAGCGGCAACTCGAGGACAGATTAGCTCTGGTTGCGCGCCGCATTGCGAGGCCATTGTTAACGCGGACATAATGTTTCCCTCGATAACGCGACATATTCGCGTTCGGTTAAGCGGGTTTATTAGCGATACCGGACTAACGGCCATTGCGCGATGAGCGACGACACCTCGTAAACCGCGGTTCGCCAAACATTTCCACCAGAAGAGACTTCCTCCGTGTAACCCGCTGTAATTAGTCCCGAGATAAATATTCACGTGTCAAAGTGCGAAAGAAGAATATGTGAAAAGTGTAACGCGTAATATTATACAGGGTGTCCGAGAAACGTTTGGCCAAGAATGATTTCGAAATATATGTCTCTCATAGATATTTGTACGATAAATATTGGAAATGTGTCAAAACGTGAATGGATGCAAATGGAAGAATGTAATGTGATTTATACAGGGTGTCTCTTTTTTCGAATTGCCATTTTGTGAAAAATGTTTGGAAATTGATTAATTTCGAGATCTCGATACGATAAATATTTGCATCAAAGTGAGAGTATATTTAAAAATAGGTGTAATGTGATTTATACGGGGTGTCTCGTTTCGAATTGTCATTTTGGTAGTGAGAAATGAATTTGAAAATTGGACGATTTCGAATTTCGGTTTTGAGATTTTTACACGATAAATAATCACGTGTCAAAGTGTGAGAGGATGGAGATAAATGGAAAAATGTAATGTGATTTATACAGGGTGTCTCGTTTCGAATTAACACCTTGCTAGCGAGAAATGTTTGTTTGGAAATTGATTAATTTCGAAATTTTTATACGATAAATATTCACGTGTCAAAACGTGAAAGGATATATATGAAAAGTGTAATGTGATTTATACAGGGTGTCTCGTTTCGAATTGCCATCTTGGTAACGAGAAACATCCGATTGGAAATTATATGATTTCGAATTAGTCTCGAGAATTAAATGTTCACGTGTCAAAACGTGAAAGGATATATATGTATATATGAAAAGTGTAATGTGATTTATACAGGGTGTCTCGTTTTCGAATCGTGCGAAAAGTGAAAAGCGTGTGGAATATATAGAAAAAAATAGAAAGTGATTGTCTCGATACTTTGTACAATAACCCTGACGACTTTCTTCCATTTCGTTTATTCAATTGAATTCTTCTTCGAATCACTCGTTACGATAAAGACAATTCAAAAATCCTTATATTTTCTACTCTAATCATCATTAAACCTAAAATTAGCCTAAAACGATCAAAGCTTGTTTTAAAAATGTTTCTTCTTCTAAACTCTCGAAAATGGTTCAAAGTGCTAATGCAACAAAAACTAAAATGATACGAACTACTTTTTCCATACCATACATGCAAATACGAGGGCTCGATGACAAACGATGATAAACAATCAATTACGCGCACGATACGACACTTGTGCAAAAAAAAAAATTATTCTTTCGCAACGAAATCCCATTTCTACTTTTTATAAAAATACACACAACATTTGCACAAACATCCGCAGCCACGATGTTATCAACACGGCAAGTAAACACCATCTGGCCGGTCGCGGTTACGATTAAAGAGAGGGGTCTATTCTAAGCCTTGAACTAGAAACGGGCTGTAAATCGTGGAAACGAGAGGAGAGCTTTCGAATGAGAATAACTCGGGAATATAAGGGGGGAGAGAAAAATTTATTAGAGATTTTGAGATTTATTAGAGATTGCTATACCTACTTTTCGTTACTTTTTATTGTCTTTTTCCACGGCTCAATTTTGAAACTGATATCGATAAAATTAGAAAGAAAGAATTGCGTATCCATCATCGTGGATCGATGATTCAATTCTCAACGTTGCTGCACTTGTTGTAACGCATTTTGAAATTAAATCTACGAAACGAAGAGGTCTCGAGGTTTATTTCTTTGAAAATTATATTATGAGATGATATATTACGATATTTGGATGGAAAAATCAACCGAGTCGAACGAATTTAATTTCACTCAATCCTTTCGAAACATTGTTATTGTTGCTGCACCAAACGCGAGGAAATTAACGTTCGAAATATTTATATTGCGGATAATTGTGCACACTTGAAACTTGTTACTTTGTTTTTTTGAATACTTCGATACTTTGATCAACTTCGATGAGCTCGTAAATTGCAATTGTTTGTTAGGATATTAATTATATAAATCGAATCGAACGAAACGTAACGATGAGAATGTTTTAAAATTCTTTTTTTTTTTATTTAGCGAGAACTATTTCGTTATTTCAGGAACAGAAAACTGGCCGAATATCGAAAAAAGAGATAAGAACGTGGCTGGCGAGCTATATTTATGCAAATTTAACGTAAATTGTATCGATAAAAATATACGTCGAAGGAAATGGGACGCATATCGATGAATAGAAATTCGTTCGAAATAAAATTAAAAATTTCCAGTAATCGAAACGATAAATAAAATTTCTTGATTGAAATTCTAATATTTTTTAAAACGTTTCCCTTCGAACTCGAGTAAGATAAATAAAGGAAGAAAGAGAAAAAAATCACTCAAATATGAAAATGAAGTACGGTTTATCAAAGTACGGTCCCCACGCGTCGTTCTAAAAATATACGATAAATAAACCATACGCAACATACGAAACTATATGAAACTAACCTCGAATAACGAACAACAACAAGTAATACGAAATAATCGAATCTAAAACCTCTACTTATACGAATTATATATAAAACAATGTGTTAACAACGACGTTATAAATATACATTTATATATACACACACGCACGCACACACACACACACTTGTTCAAAAAACATCGAACTGAGAAATCAACCGACCGAGTCGCCATCGCGGTGAAGCGCGAGCGAGATAAAATGGCGCCGCGCGGCCCGTCGGATGCCGTCGAGTCGAACAAATTCGCGTTTCGGTCGCGAAATTCGCGTGCTCGTTCGTTTGTTCGTTCGTTCGGTCGGTCGACGACGGTGACGGGGCGAAAACTGAGCGACGAGGATGTCCACGGAGGGCACGGGTGCGCGCGGAAAAGGGGCAAAAAAGGGGAGAAAAGAATCGAATGACAGCTCGTTACGACAACGATCCGACCTTGGATTCTCGCCTGTTTCGGACTCGAGACGAAATTTTCGTCTCGAGAAACGAAGGGGGGGAGTGGGGAAATCGGAAGGTGTATTGGCGGAAGAGGAGGATTGAGGAGGGAAAAAAAATTGTAACGGCACGGATCGCTCGACCTTCGGAATATTCCGAATATTCGTTCCGGATATTTTTCACCGTCGGTAAAGGAGACGATGTTTTGTTTCGGTCGGTGCCGACGGAACAGTGTCCTTGTGGAGAATTGCGCTTACCGAGATCGGAAATTGGTTTGAAATTAAACGTATTTTCTTCCTTTCGGATCGAATCGAATCGAGATTGGTGTTTTCTTCTTTCTTCGCGAAATTTTTGAAGAATTGTGAATTGTGAAAATGAATCTTCGCGATATTGTTGTACGAATATCTCGACGGTTTGAATTTGGAAAAAGTTGAGCGAAACAAGTTGGAGGAAAAAAGGAGGAAAATCTCGTCTTTCCGAAAATGCATTTTCTTCGAAACTTATGAATCTTCAAAATCGAAATAAAATAAATCTAAACCGCCTTTGCAATCCGACGGGAAACGACACGAAACTCGATCGAGGAAGAATTTACGTGACGATACACGCTCAAAAATAGAAGAAAAAAAGAAGACCGAGGTAAAAACAAAATTCATATTTCGTTCGAAGAGAAGCTTTGCCCGATTTTCTAAAAACTTACGAATTCCTAAAATATTACGATCGAAATAAACCGTCTTTGCAACCCGACGGCCACGAAACTTGACCGACGAAAAATTTACGTGACGAAAGACACGCTTAAAAGTAGAAGAAGAAAAAAGAAAAAAATTCATATTTCGTCCGAAGAGAAGCCATTTGGAAATTATTAAGACAATTTTCCCTGATCTTCATTCCTTCTCGATTCAATCGTGGCGAGTACACATCCGTTCCCTATTCTCGAGAAAAAACATCGGGCTCGACCCATTTCGGATAATATAAAAGAGAGGAGGGGAAGAGAGGAGGGGCGACAAAGCGGGTTAAGTGGGCCAATTCGCTGGATTCTTCTTGGAAAGTTACTCCGCTCTTAATTGCGCCCGACTTGTTGTTGTTTCCAATTCTGGAAAGGATGGAGTCAATTGGGGCGATGTTATATTCACTTTTTTGGACCGAGAAGGGAGACCAAGTTGGTTAAGAAAGTTCACCGCCATATTTCTCGAGTTTATTTTTGCTTTATTTTGGAAATTCCGTGGAAATGCATGCGATAAATGTAATTTTCGATCAGGAATAAGAGTAATCGTACAATCGAGAATAGTTTCCAGCGTTTAATTTGCTTATTAATTTTTACGAATTTGAATATATTATTATACTTGGTCGTCGACAAACACCGCGCAACGATTTTTCCTTCCCTCCACCCACTCGACGGAAATAATGGAGAGGGGGAAGAAGTGATGCCAGGCACGCTCGAGGCCTTCCTTATTATTATTACTATTCTCCTCGTGATATATACGACCTTCGTACGTTGATGGAATACGTTCGAAAAATCCGGCTTACCCTCGATCGATAAAAAAGAGAGAAA